CTAAAACTTTCATCCACTATGTCCTTCCCTCTTTCAAAGGCCTTCCTTGTTCCCAATCTTACTACCAATTTAATTTCTGTTGGTCAATTTGTTGGTGCAGGAAATGTTCTCACTTTTTCTCATAATGGTTGTTTGGTCTAGGATTGACACATTGGGAAGGTGAAAGAGACGTAGGTTGGGCCATATGTTTGCATTGGAATTTGAGAAATCTACACCAACATCATCCTTGTCTTATTTTAGTTCTTCTAAACAGTGATTGAAAGGCGTGCCTAGGCGCACAGATGAGGAGCATTTTAGGGTATGCACCTCGCCTAGGTTCTAGGTGTAGCCCTTTCAAAAGGCACACGCCTTTTGAAAAATTGACACTCCGAGAACCTTCTATTTGCTAATGTTGTTCATTCATTCATTGCAATAAAATATCTTATTAAAAGGCAATGAATGTTATAAATTTATTATTTTTTGTGTGAGAACTAAGAATTTAACACCTAACATAGACTTGTTTGGGCTTGCCTCGAGGGGCATGGCACAAAGGCGGCTTGTAGAATCAGGAATATAATATGTTTTACATTACATTAGCTACTTGAAGTAATGCAATTGAGTGAAAAGAGAGATTAGAGGTTTTACATGCTTGAAAATGTTTTATATGTTTGATTTTATTTTTAAATTCTCATTTAAATATGCTTTACATCTTATGTTTATGTATTTTAATTTTAGATAATAGGTTTTTTAAAACATTTATTTTAAAATTTAAGTTTATATTTTTTATTAATATTATGTTTAATATTTTTTTTTGAATATTTTTAATTTTTTTGACATTTCTTTTTGATTTTTTAGCATTTTTTTATTTTGGTGCCTTGCTTCAAAAAGGCGTGCGCCTCACCTTGTGCCTTGCGCCTCAAGTGCAAATTGACTTCTGCGCCTTGTGCTTTTAAAACACTGCTTCTGAATATAGTTTTGTTTTGAGTCATGAACAAGATTCCTCTTATTTGTACTTTTGATCATGAACAAGATTTTAATCATGAACAAGAGTCCTCCTATTTGTACTTTTGATGCTTCTTGTATTGTCTGTTGCCTTGGCAAAAGTCATATTTTACCTTTTTTTTCACAAATCTGAGCATGCCACTTCACCTTTTGAGATTAGACACAATGATGTTTGGTCTGCTTTTGTTTCCTCACGGTTAGGATACAAATACTTTGTACTATTTATTGACGATTGTACTAGGTACACATGAATTTACATCATGCGGCACAAATCAGAAGTTTTACCAACACTCAAGTTGTTTCATGCTATGGTACGAGTTCAATTCAAGGCTTATATATGTATTTTCTACTCAGACTCATGGGTGGATATACTAATGGAGACTTTTAGGCTTATTTGAGGAGTTATGGCATTTAGTCTCAACATAGCTGTCCAAACACTCCTCAACAGAATGTAGTAGAACGCAAGAATAACCATGTCCTTATTGTTGTGAGGACACTTCTACAAGAATCCCATGCTCCACCTTCCTTTTGGGTGGAAGTAGCCAGTACAATTGTGTATTTAATCAACCATCGTCCTTCTGTCCTTGCTAATGTATCTCTGTTTTAGAAGCTCTTTGGTTGTCTTCCTGACTTGTTTAATTTGCATGTTTTTGGTTGTGTGTGCTTTGTGCATCTTCCTTCTCATGAACATACCAAACTAACTACTCAGTCTATTATGTGTGCCTTTGTTGGGTACAATCCCAATCACAAGGGCTTCTTATGTTATGATCCCACTGTTCATCGTATTCGGATTTCATGAAAAATTATGTTTCTTCAACATATTTATTTCTTTGCTCCTTCCATCTCTATTTTGTAGAATTTTGATTAAGAGGATGTTCCTCCCTCATCTATTGGGAAGGATCTTCTTGTCTTCGCTCGCAAATGGCTATGTGTTCCAGACCCTACAATTGTGCCCCCCTKCCTACTGGTTCAACACATTAGCCCCCTGATCTCCCTATAAGTGATATATCTTCCTCAAATACCTCTATTCTACCTGTTTATTCTTCCATTCCTCTTCGTTGTTCTACTCGTTTTTCTCAACCTCCTAATCGTTATGGTTTCTTTACTAGCCATGCTTCATTATCTGTTGTTTTATCCTCTAAAGATATCCCTTGATCTTACCAGCAAGCCATTAGGAGTCCTCATTAGAGAGAAGCCATGGATGCCAAGATTAAGGCTCTTCATGAGAATGACACTTGAATCTTGTGCTTGTACCTTTAGATGGTTCTATCGTTGGAAACTGTTTGGTTTATACCATCAAGCTAAAACCTAATGGATCCCTTGATTGATATAAGGCCCGCTTAGTTGCATAGGGTTATAGTCAGGAGCATGGCAATGATAATAAAGAAACTTTTGCTCTAGCCGCTAAGATCACCGTAGTTTGAGTTCTCTTAGTGAACTGGAGCAAAAGTTCCTTCATAATATTGCCTTCCTTCACGGTCAGCTGAAGGAGATTGTTTATATGTGTTAGAATGTGAGAGAGAGAGAGAAGGCTAAGAGAAAGCCAAGAGACTTCGTATCTGTTAGGGTTGATTAGTATGATTGAATCAACCCAAAAAATATGAATTTATATTAATAAGAGAATGGACAAGATTGTCCTTGCAAAAGAAATAAAGGTACAATGTTGTACAAGACAGAACACTAATATACACACCTACTAGTTTACAATAAAGAGAGTAAAATTACAGAACTACCCTCCATCTTCTCTAAACTCCCCCTTAAGCTAATGCTGGGGCACAAGCATCAATTTGTCCATAAGAAAATTATGYCGGGCTTTGGTCATAGCTTTGGTGAAGAGATCCAGGGTAGGCGCCTCGCCTAAGTCCTAGGCACATTTGCACCTCAGCCCTAGTGTATGCCTTTTGAAACTAGTGCACTTTTTTTGCTTCGAGAACTCCCTATTTGGTAATGTTGTTCATTCATTCATCCTAATAAAATGTCTTCTTAAAAAGCAATTAAAACTATAAAATCATTATTTTTTGTGTGAGAACTAAGAATTTAAGACCTAACATGGACTTGTTTGGGCTTGCCTTGAGGGGCATGGTACAAAGGCGGCTCGTAGAATCAGGAATGTAATATGTTTTACATCACATTAGCTACTTGAAGTAATGCAATTGAGAAAAAAAAGAGATTGTAGGTTTTATATGCTTGAAGATGTTATATATATTTGATTTTATTTTCAAATTCTCATTTGAGTATGCTTTACATGTTATATTTATGTATTTTAATATTAGATAATAGGTTTTTCAAAACTTTTATTTTAAAACTAAAGTTTATAAATTAGCATCAGGAAAGAGCTCACCCTCACCCTTTCTTAGCTTACGGTTAAGCTCTAGAGGTGTATCAACTTGTTTGGAGTCAGTTAAGCGAGTTAGTGGAACTAAATTAGAGGCATATTTCTGTTGGTTGACAAAATAGCTTTGAGGACATCACTGAATTTCAAGGCCAAGAAAATACGTGATCGGCCCAAGATCTTTCATTTTGAAGGAGTTGCTAAGAAGGAGCTTCAAGTTACTAATACCATTCACGTCATCTCCGGTGATAAGGATATCATCAACATATACTAGGAGGAGAGTCAACCCTTCATATACTAGGAGGAGCTTCAAGTTCGTGGAGCTTGTTTATGACCATATAATGTTTTCTTCAGTTTACACACCAAGAGAGGAGTATCACAGTATCCAGGAGGTGGTGATGCCTATGGAGGAAGGCATTCTTGACATCTATCTGATGAACTATCCATTGTCTAAGAGCAGTGATGGCCAAAAGTAAACGRACATATGCCATTTTAGCCACTGTAGCAAAAGTTTCATCATAGTCAATCCCATATTCTTGCTTGTAGCCTTGAGCAACCAAGCAGACCTTATATCTGTATAGAGTACAATCTGATTTGAGTTTCACTAAGTAAACCCATCAGCTACCGACGATGGAGGCATCTGGAGGAGGAGAGACAAGTTCCCAAGTATCATTCTTCAATAAGGCCTGAACCTCTGAGTCCATGGCATATTTCTAATGCTTAGCTGCTACAGCAGAGTTGTAAGACTTAGGAATGTCTATAGAGGACAAAACAGTAGAAATGGAGCTTATGGCTAGAAAAGAAGCCATAGCAGTCAGGTGAGTGAGAAATACGCAAAGGAACAGGTGAAGGCAAGTCAACAGGATGAGAGGAGGAACTTACAGTAGTGATGTGGCATAGGCATTGAGCTGGATGCTTCCTGAAATAAACCTAAAGTTGCTGAGGACTGAGAGTAGGATCACCTGTAGAGTCAAAACGATGCAGAATAGAAAAGGATGGTGCAGGAAATCCCTTGTGTTCCATACTATATCCCATGAATGCATAGATAGTTGATTAGGCTGTTAGCTTTGTGTGTTTATGGGGAGGGAGATGGACAAAGCAGACACAACTAAAGACAYGAAGCATGGACGGATTTGGTGGACAATGAAACAAGGAGTGAAAGGGAGTGAATTTCCAAGGACAGAAGTGGGAAGGATATTAATGAGGTGTACATCAGTGTGGGTCGCCTTTTTAGGACGGCTGAGTTTGCGTTAGTGGCTGATTCTTTTTGCTGTTTGTGTGTATGTATCGTGGAGTTGGTACGAGATGTGTTGGTGTTTCTTTTTCCCTCTTTCCTTCTCCTTTCTTCAGTCTTGATGGCTATGTAAGCAGCTTGGTTTCACTTCCATAGGTTGTTGACCTGTGTATTCCTATTATTCTTTGTTCATTAAATGTTTAGTTATCAACCAAAAAAAGCCAAGCAGCAATGAGAAATTCCAGTTTCAGTTAATTGGTTGATACTCATGAAGACCATGTAATTATTTTATAATTGAAGTTTCCTGTATCATTTGTTTTCTCTTTATTTGAGACCTAATTAAATCCTTGGTTGTTTGTTCAAAAATGTTTGAACTACCCCCTAACAGATGATATATGCTAATTATTTAATAATTTAATGTCTTACTATTCTTATTGTTTTTTCACTTTGCAGGGGTATGATATTAGCTTTCTTATCACAAACTATCATTGTGAGGATATGCAAAAGAACAAGCTCATAGATTTTATTGTACAGTTCATGGAGGCAAGTGTTATATTCACTTACATATATGCTTTCCTTTGATATTTCACTCCTAATTCTAGATCAGTTGCTCCTTTTAGTTCTCATATTAAAATTTAGCCATAATGTTACATTCCATACTAAAAAAGGAGGTTTTTTTATACTTCACTTTTAGCTTTTTGGGTGTTTGCTATGCCTCATGGCATCTTCCCTGATCTATGCCTTGTGTTGTGTTACTGAAAGCACTCAAAAACTGAATTCTCTATCGTCTTTTAGTTTTTTTTTTTCCTTATAGATTGGAAGATGTTTTTATCAGTGTTGAGAAAGTAGCAAGGCCAAAATTACAAGTTATCGGGCCTGTTATTACTTTATGTTCTTTCTTTTCTTAATAGGCCTGAATGGGCCTTATTATTTCTATGTTATATTTAGTAGTTCAGTTTCAGCCACCCTATGAAGGGCTTTGATGCATTTATCTTTTATTAGCCAAGAGTATAAATATTAGTGGGGAACCTAACTGTTCTAATGATCTATTCTTCTCCAAACCTCTCTTTCTCTTGTTCTTCTGTCTTGTCCCTCTTTTCTACCTTGCTGAAACTATCTTCCTATTCTTTTCCCTTGTGGGTAATTCATATGCAGTCTCTAGACAAGTCAACTGCATAATGAATTAGAGAGGGCTGCTCAATCCCTGTTTTGAGGGCTGGTTGCTGGAGTTTTTGGTAAATAAGTATAGCCCAAGGTGTTGTCTTGAAGGGTACCTTCCATCTATAGATTTCTGGCAAGGTTTGAGTTTTCATTTGGATCTAAACTATACCTAGAAGAGATTGATTGCTTCTGGTAGGCATTTCTGGTGAGATCAATATGGTTTTTGGGGTGTTTCTTTTCTTCTTGGATTAGGGTTTTTCTGTTCAACCTACTCAGGGTTGCTATCATTGAATTTCTTATGTATGGAGGATTTTTTATTTATTCTTGGGATTGGTTTATCCTAGGTTTTTGAGGTTAGTTGACAAGAACTCTTTGTTGCTCCCATTCCTTCCTACTTCTCTGGGTTGCTAAAACCCTTATTGGGAGGATTATAGTGTTTGGTTTTGTGACTTTGGTGACTCCAAGAGTATTTCTCTTGACTCTTGGTGGTGTTTGAAATACCAGTGGAGTAGATGGAGACTAGTGGTGTTTGAAATACAAGTGGATGCGGAACTCAACTACAAGTGGTGATGTCTTGGTTGATTAATATGGTGCTGACCTAAAAAAGATAAAAGAAAAGGAAGAAAAAGAGGGGATACGGAGGGAAGAGCCGTAGAAAAAGGTAGGAAGCAAGAAGAGAAGAAGAAAAGGGAGAACAACTAAGAGAAGTCGAACAAGACTCCCTTTATTGTCAATCAGGTATGTATTACTATTCATTAACAGATAAAGTTACAACAATGCCCGTAGACAAGTAAAACTGTTACAGGGGAGAAAATAACAACTAAAAAATGACAAGAATGTCCTGGTCGACTAACTTTAATAAATCCCCCTCAAGCTGGAGCATTGAAGTTCTAGTGTGCTACAAATATACTCCATCCTTGAATGGCCCAAACTTTTGGTAAAGATATCAACTACTTGGTCTTTTAACATTAATATATCCACTTGTCACTTTCTTTCTCACAAAATGACAATCAACTTCAATATGTTTAGTTCTTTCATGAAACATTGGGTTGGAGGTAATATGTGTTGTAGCTTGGTTGTCACAAAACAATTTAATGGGTTGACAAACTGGGATGTTCGTCTCTTGAACAAGATGCTTCAACCAAATCAACTCATAGGTAGCATGGGCCATTGCTTTATATTATGCTTCAACAGTACTCCTAGCGACCACACTCTGCTTTTTGCTTTTCCACATGACAAGGTTCCCACACAAGAAGGTACACTAACCTATGGTAGACTTCTTGTCCATTGGAGACCCTATCCAATAATCTGCATCTAAATACCCTTCTAAGGATAAATCTTCCCCTATCTTATACAACAACCTACAACCTAAAGCACCTTTTGGATGATTCAACATCCCCCTAACACCCTCATAATCACATGCATGAATTGGTTGAAGACTTCAACACTAAAGGAGATGTCAAGCCTAGTGATAGTGAGGTAGATCAACTTGCCTACTAGTTTCTTATATCTTGTAGGGTCTTCTAATGGCTTCCCTTGACTATCAGTCATCTATTGAGATCATGGGTGTTTCTATTGGCTTGGATCCTAACAACCCAGTTTCATCTAACTTGTTTAGAGCATTCTTTTACTGAGACAGATATTCCCCACTTTGATTTGGTTACCTCAATTCCCAAAGTGTACTTGAAGGTTTCCAGATCCTTAATTTGAAAATATTGTTGTAGGAATTGTTTCAACTCACTAATTCCATGTGCTCCATATACACCTTCTCAAGATGAAATAAGGGCCAATTAAAATGAGCGGATAAGGAGATGATACCTGTACAAAGCCTATTTTAGCCATTGGTGAGAAAGCCTTTGAATGAACCATGCCATAAGTTTGTGTATACCCCTTAGCAAAATGCTAGGCTTTGAATTGTTCAATACTTCCATCTTAACTTTGTTTAATTGTATAGACCCATTGACAATCARTTGCTTACTTCCCAAGAGGTAAGGAAGTAAGATCCCAAGTATTGTTGGATTGAACATGGAATTCTTCATCTATTGCATTCTTCCAATAAAGACATGAGATGACTTCTTGAATAGAACACAGTGGAGAAATAGAGGACAAAAGAGAGATAAATTGCTGATATGAAGGAGATAAGTGAGCAAATGAGACACATTGGAAAGAGGATAATATGTGCAAACACACTTACCCTTACACATAGCAATAGGGAGATCAAGATTTGATGGTGGTGGATCTGTCAATGGCAAAGACTTTGGTTGGTCAAAAGTTGGAGTTGAATCAAATGCCATTGATGATTTTGGCTGTCGATCATGATTGGAGAACATTATGTGAATCGATGGTTGGAGAGGCTCATCAGTAGTGGGTATGGGAATAAATACATCATTGGAGTTAGAGGGAAGAGGAATAGACGGGGATCGTTCATGCGCAGAAAAATAGGTTAACCTCTCAAACAATGTAACATCTGGAGCAACCAAAGCTTTTCGAAGGACATGATCATAGCATTTGTATCCTTTTTGAGTACAAGAGTAACCAAGGAAAGCACATTTGATAGCTTTAGAATCAAGTTTATTATGACCCAAACTTAGTTTGTGAACAAAACACACAACCAAACACACGAGGAGGAAGGGAGAAAGAATTAGAAGGAAACAAGATAGAAAAAAGGGGACTCACCATCCAAGACTGAAGAGGGCATACAGTTCATGAGAGAAGTTTGAATTGGAGTTTAGGGGATTCCATTACAAGCCTAGTGCTCAGGAAAAGAAAGTTGGTTGAAGGACCATGTAACAGGGGAAGGGGGAGAGGTTTGGGATGAAGGGGAGGGATAGGAGGATGAGTTAGATGGGGAGGAGTAATTCTTCTTTTTGGGTAAGCCCAGGAAGTTCGTTTTTGCTGAAGTTGGAGAAAAGAGCTGGAATGTTTTTTCACTTTTATTAGTGGGGCCTTCGGTTTTGATTGCTTTGATTCAATACCAATTGTTGTTCTTGTAGAGTTGTTTTGTCTCAAGAGTGTGGTATGCTTCCCTTGGGTGATATCACCTTTCTTATGTATTTTTTTCGATAAGTAAAAGATTCTTTAAAATTTTATTAAACCAGAAAAGATAAACAACTGTTACAAGCTTCCCCAATGGAGGCACGAGATATATCCTCACTCATAAAGAAAAGACAGCACAAAAATTACAACTAAGTCCAAAACAATTGATCCCTAGTTACCCCTTATTTGGCTAATGAATCATCCATAGCATTTGCCTCCCTTCCCATCCATTGTATAATTAAGCTCATCTGCTGAGTTAACCATTTGAATTTCTTCATTTCGTCTTGATAAGACAATATCACTGAATTTGGGTCTCTTTTAACCAGCCCACCACCACCTTGGAATCCCCTTCAATCACCAGGTTTTCCAAGTTCATCCCTTTTGCAATCTGAACACCTTGTAGGCCTTCAAACATTTAAGCCCTTATAGAGTCTCCATTCCCCACCGGTCCTGGAAAAAGTGCTATCAGGTTTCCTTCCCTATCTCTTATGACTCCTCCAATTCCAAATGAACCTGGATTGCCTTGGCTACTTCCATCAAAATTTAATTTCAAAAATCCTTCACTGGGAGGTGCCCATAACAACCTTGTTTTTGTCTTTTGTACTGAACTAGAAGCCACTGGTAACCAGTTCCTCCAAATATCATCAAAGGAGAATTGTCTAAAGAGATCCAAAGTTAGTAGCCAATGTATAACTCTAGTCAAAACACAATCCATAATTTCTTGTTTGCTTCTCTGCTTCTCTTGGAAAATCCAAGCATTTCTTTTCTTCCATAAGGTCCAAATCGCTACTGCTCTAGTGGATCAAACAACCTCTTAATCTCCATTGGATGTTCCACCTGCACCCAAACAAAGGGAAAAACCATTTCCAATTATCTGTAACAAAAGAGCAAGAGATTAGTAAGAAACAAAATTCACCATCTGATTTACATAGAGTGCACCAGTTCAGGGAAATACATAGAAACGACCTCTTCTTTTGTAGGTAGAGTGTTAACTTTCCCATAAGCCACTTCCCAATAAAAAGCCTTAATTTTTGGAGGAATTGGTTGACACCAAACTTCTTTAGTAGCTAGTTATATGGTCTGAGGCTCCATAATCAATTACCTAGTGTGAAGGTTTGGAACTAGAAACAAGGCATGTTATACCTGATTTCACTAGTGTAGCAATGGCAGTACCAGTAGAATGGTGAAGCCTCCCATACTCCTCATGGGTGATAGAGATGTCAAAACCATTTGAAAGAGATAAGAATAGGGTTTTTGGGTGTGTGTCAGCCACGCCCAAGAAAGAAATTGTATTTATATTGAAGTGTTACAACAGGCTGAAAGGACAAATCTGCACTCCATAAGTT